CCATCATCCATCATCCATCCATCCATCATCCATCCGTCCATCCGTCCATCATCCATCCATCATCCATCCATCCATCCATCCATCCATCCATCATCCATCCATCCATCCATCCATCCATCATCCATCCATCCATCACTGTGGGGATATGTAAGCCTCAGCTGGGGCTCTGCTGAGCTCCTGGCCCTGTCCTGGGGCTGTGCTTGGCTGCTCTTCCAGGTGAACCAACGGATCTGATCCCTGGAGTCTCCTCCTTGCACATCTGTGGGATGTTGGCTATTTTCTGGCCATCAGGAGCCTCTTGACATCTTTGTGAGCTTTCAGAGATGATTTTGAAGATGAAAACACGTTCAGCAAGATCACAAAGATTCTGTGGGTGCTCAAGATCCCGAGGTGGCTCCTGTTTGTGGCTGGTTTGCCCAAGACAGTGGTGAGCGGCCTGGAGCATCTCCTTGTGAGGAAAGGCTGAGGGAGCTGGGGCTGTTCAGCCTGGAGAGGAGCCCCAGCTGAGAGGGGCCCTCAGCCCTGGGTGCCCCTGTGAGCAGGGAGGGCTCAGGGCAGGGCCCAGGCTCTGCTCCAGGGACCCAGCAGTGGGCAGGAACTGATCCCAGGAGTTCTTTTTAGACATGGAATCATTAGGGATGGAAAAGACCTCCAAGATCAATGAGGCCAAACTCTGAGCATTCCCACTAAACCATCAACATGAGGAAGAACTTCCTCCCCGAGCAGTGCCCGAGCCCAGGCTGCCCAGAGAGGCTGCAGAGTCTCCTTCCCTGGAGAGATCCAGGAGCCATCTGGACACAATCCTGAGAAACATTCTCTGGGAGATCCTGCTGGAGCAGGGTGAGACCAGACCAGCTCCAGGGGTCTCTTCCAAGCTGAACTCTTCTGGATGAGCTGTGATGTCCCAGCCTGGCACCGACACCTGACACAAGTGCCAGAGGGAAGGAGGGAGCAGGGTGTGGTTCAGTGTCCCTGCTCCTCTTGATGCCTGGAGAAGGCTCACCTAGAACAGAGGCTGGACAGAATTAAGAATAAAATAAATATTTATTAAAAGGCCTTAAAGGACATACCTTGGGCACTACAAGAGCCTGGACAGGGCTACACCCAAGATGGACCAAAAATGGTCACAAAAATGGACAACAGATCATGAGGTCTCACATTTTTGTAAGTTTTGGTCCATCTGCATATTTGGGTTAATTGTCTAATTACAGCTTCAGGTTATGAAGTCCCATCTTCCTTGTTCTCTCTCTTCAGCCCACCCTTGTTAATGCTTTTGGGCCTGAAATTTGTAACAATTGTCCTTGGTACCAAGCTGGAAAAGGAATTGTTTTGTCTGCCTGCTCTGTGAAGAGAGCTCACTGACACTGAATATGAAGCTCAGAACTACACACCTGGGCAGCACAGAATATGAAAAATATAAAAACTAAAACCTAAGGCATCACTCTGCCTCAGCTGGCCATTGTCCCTCAGCTGGCCATTGTCCCTCAGCTGGCAGCCACTGCCTGGAGACTGCAGAGAGCTTTTGGTTTGTGTCTCTCAGGAACTCGTGGGGCTCTGGAGCCCCTGACACCCCCAGCTGCAATCCCAGCTCTGAGTGGTGACTCTGGGCTCCTCCTTGCAGAGCTCTGGCAGAGGCTCCTGAGCTGGTGGTGGCGATTCCCTCTGGCAGCAGAATGGCCAAGGAATTCTCCCTGGGGGCTGTGGAGCTGCAGGAACGAGCGGCTCCCGGGAATGGTGGGAGAGCTGGGCAGTGACTCTGAGCCAGAGCCTCGTCCTGCAAGGAGGTCACTCAGACAAAGGGGGCTGTTGTGCTGGTCCCCAGGCCTGTCCTTCCCAAGATCCAGCCTCACTGCGAAGCCTGGAAGCTCCTGGGCTGCTTCAACCCTGCTGCCAGCCCAAGTGCCCTGGGGTCCTGCAGAGCTGCTCCTTCCCCCGTGGAGGGAATATCCACACCCATGGAAGTGATTGAGGTGCTATGGAGCAAACTAAAGACCCCTGAGAAGCTCCTGACCACCAAACCACCACAGCCCGTCCATCCCGAGCTGCCGAGCTCCCACACAGCCACAGCCAGAGCCGATGTGCAGCCCACAGCCAGCACAGCCGGCAGCCTCCAAATACCGGAGTCCCCCAGGGCCAGGCAGCCCTGGCACTCCCCAGGTAACCTGGCCAGCCCTGGGGACAGACGTGGCCCAGGAGCTCTGCAGAGCCAGCCACACCCTTGGGGGACAGGGGCGCTTTGGAACCGGACCTTGGTGCTTGGGAAAGGCTCCCGGCTCTCCTCAAACCACGCCTGTCCCTCGAGTGGCTGCAGAGGTGCCACAAACTGGAGCAGAGGCTGAGGGAGGTGCAGCCTTCCTGGGACTGGAGCTGATGGAGAGAATCGAAATCCCTGTCTGGGGTTATCGGATCTGGGAGCGGCTTCAGCCAGGGAGGTGCTGATGGGCTCCTGTCCAGGAGGGTGGGGGAGCCCCAGGAGAGGGACCCCAGGGCAGCTGCGGAGTTTGCCCCCTCCAGATGGTCCCCAGTCACCAAGCAGGGGCTGGTGACTGGGATAGCTCCGCTCCAGGGCACATCTTCCCTTAAAAACTGGCCTTGCTTCAGTGGCTCCAGCCCCGGGTGTCCCAAATTCCTCTGCCTGCCTCGGTGCCAGGGCTGGGCTGGGGGTAACGCTTGTAAATCCCCGTGCCCCAGGCTCACCTGCAGCCTTTCCCCTAAAATTCCCTTCCCCTGCGGTGTCTTCAGGGCTACAAGGTGATTAACATCCCCTTTCAGCATGTTCCAGCCATCTTCCGGATGCCTTTAAGCCCCCAGGGTGTTACACATGGCTTACAAGTCGGGCTCCATTAGCGCTCGATTCGCTGTTTATTAAAACCTCGATTAATCTTGTATTAATGCTCTTCAAATGCGACTTTTGTGGAGGTGCAGCAGCCTCTGAGACGAGGAGCTAAGCTTTTCCCCAACCCTGTGCCACTGCTGTCAGCGAGGAATTAGCTCGGGATCTCTCCAGGCTCAGAGCTGAGGGGCTGGGAGGCTGCAGGAGCCCGTGAGGATGCTCCGATTAATGGGGGTAACACCAGCCCAGAGACACCCCTGGCTCTGCTGCCCCCAAATCTCAAAGATCCGTGACCTGGGAGCCCACTGCCCACTTTGTCCCCCCCAGAGAGGACAGGAAGGTGTGGGGGCAGCCTGGAGGATGCTGTGCTTGCCAGAACCCCGCAGATCCAGAGCAGGTGGAAGGGTTTGGAATCCCTGGTTTGGAATGGGAAGATCCACATCTGAAAAGCAGGAATCTCTCCTGCCCCTGCCCTGGCAGCCGTGTGGCTCTGGGAGGGCTGTGCAGGATGGAGGAGCGTGGCCCAGCCTTCAGAGCCAGCAGGAATTGCACCTCGTGCTCCTCCGTGGGTTTGGGATGCTGCCTGTGCCAGATCCGGAGCCGTGTCCGGGCGAGGCGATGATGGGATGGAGGAGATTTCCCATCCCTGCCAAGCTGGGATGCTGCAGTTGTCATGGCAACGTGGGAGGCCTGGAGCTGGAGCCCATAGCCCACCCCTTTGGGGGGTGAGGGGTGTTCAGGGCTGGGGGTGCTCCCCAGCCCCACCCCCCCAGGCCCTGGCACCTCCCCGCACCCCAAAACTGCCATCAACCCCCTCCTCCCAAAGCTGACACCCCCAGCCATCCTTCAGCCAAAAGACCCTGCTGAAAACACTGCCTTTTCCACGGGGAAAAAACACCTTTGGGTGGAAAAACGTGTCCAAAGGCGTTGTGGGGAGCACAGGGCCAGGTGGGAGCTGCCGGGAGGAGCCTCCTGCTCCCCTCTGCGGCCAGCCCAGACGGCCCGGCTGGCTGAGGCTGGAGAGAAGGATCTGGAAGGATCTGGCAGGAAGCACCTGGCGGGCTCTGGCCGTGAGCTGTTCCTGTGGGATGCTCCCAGGGCTCTCCCCAGCAGGCAGGGATGGCTGGAGGTGCAGCCAGCTCCGCTCTCCCTCCTCCCACAGGTGCCTGCATCTGCACACGAGGTCACCTCCCCTTCAGCCACGGGCCTGCTGAGCCTTCCCACGCTGCACAAGCTGCTTCCCCACCTCGGGATGGGTTTTGCTGTCTCCAGCAGCTCATTCCCGCTGCCAGGCCTTGACTGACATCTGTCCATCATCCGCAGCAGCTGGAATCGCAGACAGCAGCGGGTCCCCGCGGGAAGGACGGGCAGGGACGAGCCCGAGCTGTGTCCCCGGTGCCTGCTCCCATTCCTGCCGCATTCCCGCATCCCCGCTCGGGCTCCCGCCCGGTTCCGCCGGGGCTCCGGGTGGCACATGAGTCACACTTCCTCCCTTCGCCCATTCCAGAGCCCTGCCGCCGCTATTTTTGGAAGTTTTGGAAAGCGGATCGGCCCCGAGAAGCGCAGTTTCTGGATGCTCCCCACGCCAGCCCGGCGTCCCCCCGTGTCCCCGAGCCGGGCTGGGGAAGCCCCCGGCCCCTGCGCTCCCCTCCCTGCTCGGGGTGCGTGGGAACTCCCTCCTCATCCCACGGCCCCTCCTGAGTCAGCAGCGAGCTGAAGCACCATCCTAGTGGCAAAATATTACCTTTTAAAGGGCTTGTTTGCGATTGGGGTGGGACTTCGTGCGCTGCCAGCTTGGCGTTGATCATTGTGCTCCCAACGAGAGGATCATTCCCGGTTATTTTTACTCCCAACCCCCAGTGTTTTAGCTGGGGCTGCAGTGCCTCACAAAGTGTCTGTGAGGAAAACAGGGCACAGTCCAGCCCCGGAATCGAGGGGTGGATGAAATCCGAGGTGGGATCAGTGTCACAGCCGGGCCTTCCTCGGAAGGATCTGATTTTACGGGATGCTGCACCCACACCATTCCACACCTGCCCCCCATCCCTCTTCCCTCCACTCCTTCAGGATCCGTCCAAATCGAGGATCATTTTCCTTTCAGAGCAGTGATTGTGTTGCCCATCCCTCGCCCGGGGACTGCCCAAGGTCAGCGGCCGTGACCCGGGAATGTCCGGCCGCCCTCCCGGCCACACCGGGGACAAACCGGGAGGGGACGCGGGGAGCTCGGGGCTCCGCCGGGCTGGTGACACCTCTGCCCTGCGGCCCGGGGCTTGGCAAACTTTAGCTCCGTTTTTTTGTGCCTGGACACAAGCACAAGGCACAAGGACTCCTGCCCCGCCGGCGCTGCCGGGCTCGCAGCATCCCGATAAAATTATCCGGGATAAAATTATCCCCGTCTCACTTTGGATTAAAGGCAGCTCCGCTGGAGCCGAGCGAGCGCTTCGGCTCCGAGCCGTCAAATGGCAGCGTTCCCTTTTTTTGTCTGGATCGGGGAGGGGAGCCCTGCCAGCCTGCGCCTGGTGACAATGACATTGATTTCCTAGACCTCTCGGCGTGGCAAAATCTGTATTTTTAGCCGGAGAAGAGAAAAATACGAATCACGTGTCAGAGCAATGCTTTCCCTGCCCTGCTGGGAGGGAAGGAGCCGGGAGCTGCTGGAGCAGGGGGTGAGCAGGACTCGCTGCCCGCTTCCCGGAGCTGGGGATGCAGCAGGGAGCTGCTGCTGCACTGCCCGGGCTCTGTCCCCGGCACAGCTCCGGCCCCCGGCAGGGCAGGTGGCACCCCGCTCCCCAAGGCTCCCAAAGGCTCCCAAAGCCTCCCAAAGGATCCCCTCCATCCCCTCCGCATCCCCCGTGGCCATTTATCTTCCGGGGCAGGCGCTGCCTTCATCTCTGCTTCCCTGCCACCGCCTCCTCCTCCTCCCCGCTCTCCCCCACCCTGTTCTCATTTCCCCAAGAAGACTTTAATGAAATCTGCCCTTAATTAAATCCACATTCATTTGCATAATTACCAGGAAATTGAAATTAGCCTGAGGACGTGGCTGGAATACATTTCGCATTCGAGGCGGCCGTGGCTGTTGGGAGGGGGCTGCACCGCTGGGTGCCCCCCACCCATGGGTGCTGCTCCCCACATCCCTGCCCTCCCTCCCTGGCCGTGGTGACAGGGTCCG